GCATTGGGAGCAATTTGTCTTCGTGGACGACTTTTGATGGAATAAACCCGCATTTGCGTTACATGGCGAGTAAAAGCACGAAACCTCCCACTGTTAGCTCAATGGCGAGGGGACTCTAACCCATGATCCATTTACCACTGAGGATATTTCGTGTCTGCACTGTGGTCGGTGCAAGCCGGATGCAGAATTCGTATCGACCAGCCATCGTTGGGATTCGAACCTGGTTCACTTCATTATAAGGCAAACGCTTTATCCCCTCAGCCATTGCGTCTCCACTTTTACTTTATGTAACTTTGAAATAAGAGATCAGAAGAGTATTAAGAATTTGGAAATCAGTTTTATGGAATTTATATTTTTTTCCTCCTAAACCGCCATTAATTCTTTAATTGAATTTGGCGATATTATAAACTCTCATATCGAGTTATCATCGGTACTAAGTCAAATCGATTTAAATAAAATCAACCTGCATATTCATAGGACTCTAGTATCTGTATTTTATTTCCAAGGCACTAAATTACTCATTGCATTTTACTCATCTAGAAAATGCGCCGACATATACAAATTCAGCACATTTTAAAACAGTAATTTCCCACAAAAAGAAAATGAAGAGAAAACAAAGTGTTTAGAGTTAAGACCTCTAAACTATCGTAGGTTCCAGAAAGTAAAGTCATAAAATCTAAAAATATCTGAATCACTCAAATTAAAACAACCATAAAATCTTACGCTTTTCCGCGGACAAGCCATTATCGAAATAGCTGAAACTATTTTTATAAGGAATGAAACGCTTTTTTAAGTTTTCTTTGATGATTGTTGTTTGAGAATTACGCTATAAGGAATAGTTCTGAAAAAGATTTAGAAATGAAACTTTCTTCTGATGGCTTTCATCAAACTCTGCAGACCTTGTGATACACACTGTAAAAATAAGATCTAAACTACTAGAATCTGGTACAATTTGCCGCGTTTTCGGCTCTATGAGAGCAGTGAAAGGCTTGGTAATTTTTACTGAAGCGCTTTGGTAAAGATTTTTGGTAAAATTATAAATAAAGTACTGTTTTATAACGTGTGATGAAAATTTAGTAATTTTATCGTGATATAGCATAGCATAACAAACGTTTATTCGATTAAATTTATATTTGAGTTTTGTATTTTATACTAAATTTGATATAATTAGAACTGTAGTTTTGAAAACCGGAATTTCTGGTAAGCCGTTACCATATAAATAAAAAAATAACCAAATATTCGTATTGTAACCAAATAATCGGTTTAAATATCGTATATTTTGGTCTTACTAAGTGTCAGTCGTAACCTTTTACAAAAGAAATAACGCAAAATTCTACAAAAACTAATTCACCATTTTATTATTCTTTTTCATCCATTGTTCAAAAAAACCAAAACAAGAAAAAATGATCATATCTATAATATCAAGCTTTTAGCTCGCAACATCAGAAAATGCGTGTTATTACATCACGTGACCCTGACACTAAGCATATTTTTTTTTCCAGAAATATCATTACCATGCAGTACGATTATTTTATCAGAATTTTTTCCTTCGGGTGTAAATCATATTATCCATTTCTTTATTATATTGTCAGAAGAAAATTTACCATGCGCACACGCGTGCGTATATTTGTAGCGTTGTAAGCAAAAGGGGACACAGCCTAACAGCTATGAAGTTTTACTAGAAGGTAAATGTTGACTCCTATTTGTACACTTAAAAGCAGGTTTTTCAAAAATTTTTGCTTAAATTTTTTATACCTCTTTTAACCATTTAACTTTTTAATAATATTGTAATTACAGTGTCCTTTCTAACTCATTATCACTAATTGAGATATCGAGACGAGGTTGAGGTTTAACTGGTTGTCTTGAAGTCTTAATAGTAAATTTTTTTCACGTTTTTAACAATTTCTTCTTTAAAATTTTCGATTGAGAATTTTGACATTGTTTAAGATCTTACAAAATTTTATCGTATGTCAAAATTATCTCAGTACGTAATGTCCAATTAATTTAAAACCGTTTCTCCATAATAATTTGTTATGTCAGCATGTTTATAACTGTTGCTAACCGAAAATGTGATCTCTCATTTTTGCTGTTTCACTGTCAAGTAAATTTAACTTTTTAGTTATCGAAACATAAACTGTAAAAAATTCCGGATCAAGTTGCAGTTAAAAGTACAAGCCAGTATACTTTTAGTAATGTATTTAAAGTAAGATGTCAGTACTTTTCACCATAAAATCCATTTTTCCAGTAAAATTTAAGATAAAATTTGGTATGCCCCGCAATTTTTATGTACAGTAATATTTACTGTAAAATCACCGAATCACTGTAATTCAACAATAACTGTAAAAATTTCGCTATAAAATTTCACGGTGAAGACAGATTTTACGAATGCCGCATTCAGGTTGTTAGTACTCTTTACCCCAGTGTAGTAGTTGGTAGTATTCTGCTTCTCTCTTTTCCATTTGTTATGACGAAATTAGAGTGTAGTCGTAGGCCCGTAAGATAGAACTAAGCCCTTAGAACAGTGCTACCAAAAACGTCCATACACGTTCTACCAAGGTACCTCTAAGTTTTGCCTTCTCCCAGTTTCCATTTCAATTCGATCTTTCAAATTTTATGCTTAGATGCTCCCTGTTAATCATTCTTAAACTATAGAATGAAAAAATTACGAGATTACACATTTAATTAGCAATACCCACAGAAAAAAACTCATTTATGAACCTAGAACGAAGCAGACGAAATCAACAGGATCAGTGCAATGCTTTTGAGCGGTAGACTCAGAGGAGGATCATTTGACTGCCGAAGGCAGTTAATTGGTAATAAAGATACTACTTATTCTATAAAGAAAGTCTTTAAAACCGTGGTAGCTCAGGGAATTGAGCAGTTCTAATCCTAGCGGTTGCTGATTGATACGAATTCTGCTTTTACACCGACCACAGTGCTGACGTAATATATTTTCAGTGCTTAGAATCCCCTTGCCATCGGGCTAACCGTGGAATTTTTCCGCGATTTTCCAATCTATGTAATGCCTATGTGGGATAGGTCCATCAAAAAGTCCTCCACGAAGGCTAATTTGCTCCACTGCTTTATCCAGGAGTTCCTTGTCTTCTGGGTTGGGTTAAAAATTAGAAGGCTATGGAGTCAAACATTGTTAGTCTTAAACTCAAAATTAAGTCCGCAGTCCAACACCAGTTATAAAATAAAATAAAAGGAAGTCTTTGTATAAGTTTTTTTACAAACTTAAGTTGGGTTCTTTTTATAAACAAACTTTGACTCGACAGTAAAATATCCAATATCTAAAAAATAATTTCATGTCAACCTCGTGGATATACTCAAACCAGTAGACTAAATGAATTAAAACTTGCCTTCTAGTTCTCAATTAACCAACTTTTAAAACTAAACTAAATGTTTGACGTGCGAATAACTGTACCTAAAATGGTAAAAGAGTTATTAACTATTCGTTCCTTTTGTTTCTGTATCATGCTAGTTTCTTTGACGAAACAGAAAGTTTCAGTTCACTAGTTCCCCCTTTCTGAATAATTTAATCTTCTCCTTTACTCTAAAGCTTGTCAACGAAATTCCATTCGGTCCAAGTAACGGTCACAGTTGTATTGTATTCTCTTTACCAATGGCTAATGTGTTTTCTTTGAGTCAACGGGTATTCTACCTAGAAGTAAATGGATTTTTCAGAGTCTTAACGGGAAGACTTTGAACTTAAAAACAAAAAAAATGGGACTTAGAGAACAAGTAAAAATATCTAGATACAGGACGAGTTGGAATCTACTTAAGTGATTAATGCGAAAGCTAATAGAAAATAAAGATGTACGGTTTTAAAAAAATAATAACTTCGAATTTGTTTCGTTGTAGTTTTGTGTTGTTAAATCCCATTATGGTAAGTCTTGTAATTAGTAGTTCGCAGAATAGGGTTATATTTTGTTTAAGGGTAATGTATAGTTTAAGTTTTAAAAGAATTGAACTCTTTAATTTTAAATGAACAGAACATCGCTTTAAAGTTTATAATGCTTAAGCCTAACATTTCTAATAAAGTCATTTTAATAAAATCCAACACTTTCACTGTTTTATGTAAAAGATTGTAATAAAATTTATTAAAAATAAGGATTTCACTGATGAATAATAGTGTGGAATTTTAATGAATATTTGTAAGTACATTTATGTAATACATGATTTTAAAAAATTCTTTTAATTTATAACGGTTTTTTGATAAATGACTTTTTATAGTACTATCCTTAGATTTTTCAGTATTATGGAAATTTGTGTCTTAAACTATTTTCTAAAGAAAATTTTTAGAGCAGAAAGCCTTGAAAGGAAATTTTTTTATTTATTATCCCTATTTTTTTTTTTTTTTTTT